TTATGATCTTTTAATTTCAAACAGAATGAAGGTGAGCAGGATCTGAACTATGCAGCAATACATTTCCCTGGAAGGAAAGCTACAAAAGCAAGCAATAAAAAAGAACAGAAGACTGAAGAATGTGTTTATTCTCAAGTTAAGCGCTGATCTGAAAGTGTTAACCAACCCTCTTACAAAGTGAATAAAATCATGTTGTGGGTTATTCCACTGCAGATAACTTTAATAATGTTTTGTGATGCAAATAAATAAGGATTTACAACCGTAATCAGTTCTATGTGGCTTATACTTCTTGTTTCAGTAATTCCAGTAAAGTTTCAGGCTTCACTTAAATAAGTTATTGCACTATATATTTTGGTCTTAATTAAGATGGAAAATTACCACATTAATGTATGTTGCTTAACAAACTGTTCAATATTTGTTCCTATTAATTCAAACTTTAGTTCCTGCTTTTGTTTATGATGGGGCTCATTAGACTGTGACAAGCTTAAAGCTATGTGAGGCCAAGTGAAGTGAGTAAAGTTTAGTGCACACTGTCCAAACTTTCTGTAATTATTATAGAATATGATTTTAACTGAAGGTGTAACAAGGCTTTTATCAACAGCGCGGAGAGTCTGGAGACCACTAACAGGCAAGATATCAGGCACTGCAAGACAACTGCATCGTCAAAGTGACACTAAATAAAGTTTGCCCAACCTAATAAGTTGTACATTTGTGCAATGACCAAAACTAGCACCACTGATTAGCAATGAGCTGTGCGGTCAGTTTTTTAATCATTAATATGAAAATTACATCAGTATTATGCTATTTTTTCTGAGGCTGGTATATGTTATATTGCAGTTGATTAACTACTACATCTCCATAGAAATGATGCAAATTTCCATCAAATAAACTTGGATACTGTGCATAGGGACCTCAGGAGCAGCGCTTTATCTTTTAAGTAAAACATTTGTCATATCTATACAAACAGCTGCCTAAGTCACCATGTTCAGTCTCATGCTCTTCAAAGTACTGTAAATGATTTTAGTTACAACATCAAGAACACAGTTTTCAGCACTACTTACAAGACTCCGTATTGTTTTCTATTTCACTAAGAAACTGCTGCGAGCTCACCTTTAAAGTGTACAGGAAACACTACATGTATAAAGGCTAATTTACACCTGTCCTGCTATAAACATGTATTTCTTAAATCCAGAGACAGAGTTAAATCTATGACAGTTTTTTTAGCCCATTAAACCCATTTTAATTAAATTTTTTAGGTCAAATTACCACAACCCTTGAATCAATGGCGTATTTGACAAATTCCAATGGCTCCTAAAACCATCAACTCTGTGCTTTTTCAGTAATATAAGGGTAATCCCATGCAGGCTGCCACATCCAAACAGTGTTGGGAAGGTTACTTTTAAAATGTATTCCACTACATTTTAAAATTCTAGTTTTAACTTTTAGAGCATTACAGAGACAGCCCCCCCCCCCCCCCCCCCCCCCCCCCAATTGCCGATTTGATTTGTACACATACCTCCACTCGTAACCTGAGGTCATCAAACCAAAACCTTTTAGGGGTCCCCAACACTCGTTTTAAAACCTGAGGGGACCCAGACTGTGGAATGCCCTATTTCTACAGGGTTTGGACTCAGTGGAGACCTTCAAAAAGCAGCTAAAGACATTTTTATTTCAAAAAGCTTTTAATTAGACGAGGGTTTTTATGATGTATTTTATGACTGTATTATGTTTTTACCATGTAAAGCACTTTGTGACATATGTCTGTGAAAGGTGCTATATAAATAAACTTTACTTACTTACTTACATACTTACAGATTACAGAATTGTTAAATACCCCAATTCTTTGATCTTTGGGCTGAAGGAAGAACAACACTCGGTGTATAAATGCTCAATCAACAATCTCTTTAATCTCTCTACAATTTAATCTCAACAGACTACATGCCCCAAAATGTATTTTGTAATGTGTCCAGTGAAAGTAACGTATTCTGAATTCTTTGGATTACTTAATATATTATCATGCTTTTTACAACTACATGAATGTACTATTGCTGTGTGATTTATTACTATTACTGAAAGTTACTCACCATACCAATACCGACTAGATTTTTAAATCTTAATATAAAATGAGTAACAGTAGGTAGGTAGGGTAAGTAGGGTAGTAGGTAAGGCTGCACTTTTTGCAGCGATCTCGTATAGAAAACTATTCCACACATATATAAAACAGGTCCGCGGCTCTGAACCGTAGTAAAGGGACCTCTGGCTAATACGTCGGGTTCGTGTCGGGCTCGTGTCGGGCTCGTAGCCGAAAACTAGCTTTACTTTGTTGTCTGGGTCAACTTTGCTAGCGAGAGACAGAGAGAGGCATTGAAAGGCTGCTCCAACGGAGCTTATTGTTTCAGAGGAAAACACAAACACAGTGTACAGTCAAGTCGTAACAGCTTACTTACAACTGGGCTACACTGCCCATGAGGCTACATTCTTTAGGGCTATGCCTGTAACACCCTGCCTATTGCAGTAATTTTTTGAATAATAATTTTTTAAAAATATTTCTTCACGTCATTATGTGGGCTGCAAGTAGAGGGGACGTGGGCCGCGAGATTGAGACCCAGGCATTAGAGCCTCTTAAGGCGTGTTTTGTTTGGGTTTCAACCAGTGTGGAATTACCAAAAATAGAGAGGGCATAGCCTAACCTATGAAACAGGATCTAATAACTTTGATCTCAGCCAAACCGATTTACTCCGGAACAAATAAAATACCAAAAAAGGGTGAAAAATTACATTTTTAAGTTATCCGAGTGACTTATATATCATGTTTAACCTGAGTAGCGAAAGAGCGGGGGTCTGAAAATGACGAAGCCGGGAGTCCGCTGCTCTCGCCGGTTCGAGTGACCATTGAACCCCCCATCTTGCTATCGAGCGGGTGGGTAACAGACGTCTCCGAAAACGTCGGCACACTTTTGCAAATATGCGATGTCTTGATAAACCAAGCAGACATTTTAAATTTACACAGCTACTTTCTCGCCTGAAAATATGTTAAAAGTTTATTTTGTGACCCAGAAAGATTAATAAGACTAATTTTAAAACTTAGTAGGCAGCTGAAATTTGGCTGGGCCGCACTATGAATTCTGGGATATGGTGGGCCACGAAGGACACACCCGACCCATCCTTTAAATTCGGGGAAAGGAAGGACACATTTGAAGGAGTCGACGAATTGGGACAGCCTTCGTCGCCTGGCGTAATCGGCCTGCCTCCGAAGGATGCAGCCGAAGTTTTCGGACACAGCTTATGTAATTTCTTCTTCATCTTCTTCTGTTTTTCTGGCAGTTGGCAACACATTTAATTGGAGCAATAAGTTGTACTGCCCTCTAGTGGAAGAGAATGTAATTATTCTGCCTGATACTCCTGCCGGTCGCTTAAAGTACCAATCAGGTGAAACCAGATAATCTTCCACGGCAGACCTGATCATTTCTCACAGCACACCTGTGTGCCGCGACACAGTGGTTGGGAAACAACGCTTTAGGGGGTTAAAGTTTTTAGACCACGTTTAGTGCCATCTTGTGCCCTTACAAAACGTGACATCACTGGATTGGCTGGTTAGTTTCTCGTAATAGACTTCCAATAGCTTATGTTAACTAACTAGTGACAGAAGTGATAATTCAGTAGAAAAATCTAAAACTGAAAAACAGTCTAAGGGGGTCACTTTTACTCTACCCCTGGCTGCAACAATGATTTTTTTTTTATTTAAGGCTATGTTGTCCACTTTTACTCAGTCTCTTAGCAGTCAGTGATTGTCTGTTGTTTGGCTAACTGAACTGAAGCAAGAAAATCCCCCTATTAGTTGTAATGTCATTGTTTGTAGAGCACTTTATAAATGTGGACAGTGTGTACACGAATCACAAAAAATCAGCAAGCCTTTGATGGGGAGGTTATTAAAGAGTTATGGTGGCTGAAATGGGACAAACACTGGTCATGTTTACTTATTTGTGTTTGAATCTTAATTTTCCCCTGTCGTCATGCAAGCTGATCAGGGACGTTGAAATGGGTGTACAATACCCAGGTCTGATTGGAAACCTTACTTCCTTTGTCGCAGACATGTGAAAGCTAAGGTAGACTAAATCACAGTAATACTGTTCTATCTAATACTGTTCGATTTGAAAATTCATAAAGTCATACATTAATGAATACAAAACAAGAATGGGGTAACAGAATATATAAAGAGCAACCTGATACATCATGTTTTCAGTAAAATTAAAAACAAGTTCTTTATTAGTTTATTTTCAGTGAATGACATTGGTACTCAAAGTCAACCCACAGTTTTTCATACACACTTTCACATTCTGCATTTAACTTGAGAATAAACACTTTCTTCAGTTTCCAGTTCATTCTTCCTCTTCTTTCCTCTTGTAGCTTTGCTTCCAGAGAAATGCAGTGCAGCGTAGTTCAGATCATATTCACCTTCAGGCTATGCAAAAAACACCATTAGTTCCATAAAATAAAGGGGTGGGAAATCATTTAAATCAATTAACAATATGTCTTATTACTTACACTACTGTCCACTGTTTGCCTCAAGTCATCTTGTCTTTCCTGTGAAGAGCTTTTTTCTGTGCATAATGGGGATAAAAGAGGATTGTTATTATTATCTGTTTTTTTTATTAATGTTTTAATCAGCAGTTAAACTGTTGGCAGTGACGTGGACAAAGTCAATAAGAGATGTATATATACATAAGCAACTAATACTGAGACTCAAAATATTTAAACAAAAGTGTTTGATTTTAGATTGATGAATTAAAATATAACCTGCAAAGATCTGTTTATATTGGGGAAAAATTTAAGTGTGATGGTCAAATGTAGTGAGTTTTGCAAGGAGCAAGCACAATCAAGACTAACATATACATATACTTGATTTTACACAAATTAATAAAATTCTTTCTGAAAACATGTTTTGAAAGTGAGGAAAACTAAAGTGTTATTATAATTGTTACTTTAGTGAACAACACTTACTTTGAAATTGTTTACATGCTGCTCTTGGAGTTTGGCAGCAGATGAAAATAATATTGAGAATCACAGAAATTATCAAGCAGATTATTGCTATCATCAGAGCTATGAATTCCAAACCTGCTGCTTGCTCTACAAAAACAAGAAAAGAAAGTTTCTCAAACACACTGACACTGACATAATATTTTTAACATAATACATATTTTTAAAATCATACCCATTTGTTGTTCAGTTGCATTTCCAAATAATATTTCTCCACATGTGGCCACAGCACAGTAGTAAGTCCCAGAATCAGAGGAGCTGATGTTCTTAGACAAGCGATAAACACAATTCTGCTCAGTCTCAGATCTTTTGCCACATTCATGATGTCTGTTTCCATCGGTGTATATGATGCCAGGATGAGATGTATTTGCTTCCCTGAACCAGAACACATTGTGACCTCCTGGACATGTCTTTCTGTTAGAGCTGGAGAGGACTGAACATTGAAGAGTAACAGAGTCTCCTGGATGGACTTTCTCCTTAACAAAAGTGTAGTTTGATGTTTTCTGGGTGTTTCCTGAGTAATAAAAATGTGTTAACAAAGCACATTGTGAAGGATTCATGTACCACATCTATAAAATGTGTCTTTAAAATGAATTAGATACAAATTAAATGTAAATTAAATTACATTTGTATGAGTATATTAACTGTTTTCTGATCATGCTTTTGACAATTAATAAGCTGTTGTTATAATTTATGCTGTACAATTTTACAGACTGAAGCATGTGGCAAAACTCCATGAAAGAAGCGCACATCATTACCTTTTACTAACAAATACGTCCCGGTCCATTCAGTATTCTGTCGCCATTCTGTGAACCCACAGTGATAAATTCCCTCGTCCTCTTGATTTGTCTTCAAAATGGTCAGGTTGGTAAAGTGTTTATTATGATTTACCTTCAATCTGGAGTTATTAAACTCAGGCGCAAACTCAGGTGTTGCAGATTCCCTCATTGTCCAAATTACTTTCAGAGTGTCCCCGGCACGCTGCTTGTACCAATGGACTTCTTTACGAATGGTCTCAATCACAGGCAGTTGACATGGGATGGTTACAGTTTCCCCAAGTTGAACTGAAGTTACTGGAACAAGTGTATCTAATTTCACAGAAAACATATACACATACACAAATATAAAGGAGTAAGTCGCAAGGAAAACCACCACACAAACAACAAACACATATGAGAAAACCTATACAGAATAAGTAGATACTTACATCCTCGGTGAAGAACAAGCAGTGTAACCCATAACACGATCATCTTGCGAATGTCTTTTCTTATATACATTGTAGGTTTTTCACTGAGTGTAGGAGGTATTATGACATGGGACTTCTATGTCACACTGTCTAATGGACCTGATTGGTTATGAAGTGCACTTCCTGTCACACTGGTTCCTTCCAGGTCTTTGAGGAGTATGTCGCCTCTTCTTTATCCAGTCGCTCACTTTTTTTTTTCAATTTAAATCATTTTTCTAATGCTCATCTTGAAATTTTTCATCTTTGCTAAAAAAAACATCCGCTCTCTGCTTTTATCATCATCTTTCAGCAAGTTTTCCAACTAAATGATTTCATTGGTTATTTGTTCTATGATTGACATTCCAGTTTTTTTGAAATCATTAGAGTCTTTCAACTTAAAAATAATAACATTGATAATAATAATTATCTTAAAATGGAGTTATGTTTGTGGGTTTAAGTCCTATCTTAGAACATATTTGAGCTTTTTTTTTCACTCACTGATTGCTTTCGTTTTCACTTCCTGAATGGCTCGATTTAGCCAGTAAAACTAGGTTAGGTCACGGGTTAAATTAGATAACATCGACAAGTATAAAGACATCTTAGAAAGTTCTGTTTTATATTTACCTGGGTTTCCATGCACTGCCTTATCTAAAAGTGAAGACCCTAGCATACACTGTCAATGCATTTTTTACACAACCATTGGCAATCACTTTATTCTAAAAAATGCCCATAATTACCACAAATTACTTGTCATTTTCTCAGTGCATCTTTTAGATATAGTCTTAAATTTTATGTCTCCACAATCCAGTGAAGTTGCAGTTTATAGTTTTTTATGTTTAGCCTTTTATAATAAATATACATGCAACACAGCTCCAAGCTATACAGTATTAGTAGCAATTACTCAGATTTTGGTTACAAAGGAGCATCTACACAGGAAGCAGCTAGCACTGATGTGGCGAGTGTCATAGAACTGACAATGAGTTCATCATCTCTCAAATTTAAGTCCAGTGACTGAAGAAGTGTCATGGTCCATGGGAGTGTCTGGGATTTTCCAGCTGGAGGCGATGAGTTTCCTGTGTTCATCTTCTTGAGCAGAGTGCCTCACCAGAGTTCCATTCCAAGGCTAATCAGCAGGAGTGTTCTTAAAGCCAGCGCTCGCTAGCTTCCTGTAGTTTCCGCCAGTTTGTCTGCCAGCTCTCAGTGGTAACTAGGTTTTCTAATAATTTTGCTTTTGTGATTTATTCCCTGTGTAAAAACTTGTTTCCTTGTGTCTCAGTTCCCGGTCATGTCCTCCAAGATCCATCCGCTGCTGCATTTGCACTCAGCCGCTGGTTTCACCTGCAATACTACCTATGCCTGCCTTTGTCTCCACTGTGCACCACCGGAACTCCTCCAGAACCGAGATATGGATTCCCTGCTACCTCCAGTGCTCGCTCCCTGCATAGACACTCCCTCGGTTAGCCTTCCCAAAGGGTCTTGGGTGCAACCTGCAAGTAGGCAAACATCCCTCAGCCCCATACTCACCTACAGAGCCCCTCCTCTACTATTTTAGTCAGTAACCACAATCTCCTCTGTTTGAAAACTGCTTATCAGAGATCCCACTTCACTCCCCTCTCCACTGGTGTTTCTCACATATGTTTACATATAATCCTGGTTTTGTTGTGTAAAAAAAAGTCTGGTCAAGAAGTGAATCAGCTCTTGAGTCTGTTTTTGGGTCTGCCTTTCATACGAACCCTCTGGGTTCATGACAAGAGGTTAACAATGAAATCGGAGAAAGTCATTTAATGACATATGATAGGATGGTAAATAAATTACAGGATTACTTAGGTAACGGTAATCTGCTAGCAACAATCAGTGACAAAGGCATGGAAAAATTCCTGTGTGGATGCAACTCAAGATTTATCCGTTTTGTAAATACAAGATGTAGAGACTTGTTTCAAGGAACTATAAAGACTGATAATACTGACTAAAAAAAGCAGAACACACTTGTGTATTTAGTGAATAAAAATGATGCAGCAGTTCATCCATGCTCTAGTTTCCAATGGGGTAATATTTTTACAGCTGCTGCTATAAAGTCCAGATATAAGAGAACGAAAAAGCATTTACTTAAGAGGGGGAGGTGAAATGAAGTAATTGGGTGTCATTGTCATTGCTTTGCACAAATAGGTAGTAAGCTAAGGGTTGGCTCAGACTGGAGGAGCAAGCAGAATAAATTATTAGAACATATAATTCCAAATCTTTGTTACAAATCTTTGTAATATTTTATGTTTTTATAAAATGAAAAAGCTGTGACAAGAGTGTCATTTTGCATTCTGTTATGAAATTATATTTATTTCTCAACAAGACCAGTGCTGTCCATTTCTGGGTAAGTTGTCAGCACAATTTCAGGTCATTCGATCTACAGAAATAGTGATGGGTGGGAGGAGTTAAGTCTGAAATGCCTTGCAGCGTTTTTCTTTTTCTTTTGATTACTTTCTGTGTACAAAGGACGTGGTGAAAACATTAATAGATTGTTTTCAACTTCATTGTTATTTGAATATTGTCATTGTGCAAAGCATAATTACAAACTCCACATTATCAGTGAAGACCCACCCAGTCAGCTTGCCATTCACTTAAGCACAAAGAGACATGTACCAGCATACAGATCTCACAAGGTAGTTGTGGTCACACGCTCCATCCTCTGCGCTCACTTCAGAGCACCACTCAGTGTCAGAAAAAACACAGTGACCTGACAAGAACACCTGACAGTTCTGATTCAACTGAGATACATACACCAAAGTGATAGAAAAGTCTTGTGTACTTAAGAGAAGGAAGTTGTTGGAAACTTAAACACTGCTGTGGTTGGGACTTCAAACAAGGCCGTAAATACAAAAGGTCTAAAGGACCGCATGTTTAGTATGGTAACTTGTGATTTTATAGTGAGATCTGTTCTGAGTAAACAGCTTCAGTGGTTGGTAAAAGCATGAAGAACGCACTCACAACAACCTTCATCCATGGATGTAGCTGTTAAATCTTGCCTTACCTGTTCTTCTGACAGTGAGAGTCACCTTTCACCCATGACACTGCCACGGTCCTGGGTCTTTTTGTTTTGGATTCATGATTAACTGTATTTCGGTTCAAGCTTTGTACAGTCTGGCCGTTTAGTTCTTAGTGTCTCTGAGTTTGTTATCTATATTTCCCAACCATAGTTTCTTGTTTGATATTGTTCGTTTCCTTTTGTGGTTTTTCTTCGTCTCTATATTTTTGTGAGCGTCTTCCGTTGAAGCGAGTTCTGTCTATATGTTTATGTATCTGTTTCCCCATTCGTGTTCCCGTGTCTGTCTGCTCTGTCTGTGCTCTGTCTGTAGTTGTCTGGTCTCCCTGTTGTGTTTAGTGAGTCTTGATCTCACCAGTTAGTCACATCTCTGCATTTAAATAGCCTGGCTATTTATTGTTTGAGTACAGGTACTACACTGTGCTAAAGTCTTTAGCCAAGATTTATTTCTTTACATTTTGCTAGGAAAGTGGGATATAAGTAAAATGGTTCATCAAAAGATGTGCAAACATACATGGAAATAGACTATAGGTGTCATAAACGAAGTCTTGACCATTCTCACAAGCTTGACAGATAAAATTTGGTATGACCACCTTTATTCTTCAACACAACTCTCTTAGATGAACTTTCTGAGATATTTATCTTCAGTAATAGTTCTCAGGTTTCTTGAAGGACATTCAAAGCTCTTCTTTGGATCTTAGTTGTCTTTTTCATTTTCTGTCCAAGTGACTCCACATTGCTTCAGTAATGTTGAGGCAAAGGCTTGTAGAAAGTCAATCCATGGCCATCAGGTTTGCTTTAACTGCACTGAGTGTTTAGGATCATTGCTGAAAAATGAGGCCACCAGAAATCAAATGTTCAAAGATGGTATCGCGTGGGGGGTCAAAACCTGATGGTACTTCTCTGCATTCATAATTCCAACAGTTTTGAAAAGATCCCTCTCTGTTTACCTCTTCTGTGTGAAGATCAAATGAAGGGCCAAATCTTTTTCTCTTTACTGGATTTGTTTTTTTTCCTTTTTCTTAAATAGGATCTGAGATTGATATCTTTATAATCTGTAGCTAGTGTTTGTGTGTTTGTTTTTAGACCATCCTTACTTGTGGATTGCTCAAAGAGTAGCATAAAAAGAGGAGAGAGTCACACCAACTGTGTTTACACTGCTGTTAGATCAGACTCCCACAACCGACCGCGACCATCTGTACAGGTCGTGATGGTCAGGCGAAGACATGCTTTAAAGGAGGCTCAGCGTCATTGTCTGTGTTTTGTTGGGTTGCTTTGATTTTGATAATAATGATTTCCAGCTATATCTGAATATAAAGGCAGATGTAGCTAGGTATGATATTTGAAATTATTTTCAGACATTTTCCATTGTTGAGGACAAAAGGTTTATAATACAGAAAGCAATTAAGCATCAAGACCAGTTAAAATATGAAACTTCTTTATGCTGACAGAACAGGGAGTTCCACTCCTCCAGCCTACTTAAGCTCGAAGTGGGCTGTATGTAGCCCACGATGTAAAATGAGTTCAACACCTGTTGTAGGCTTTTGCCTGCTGTGGTGATTTGATGCAACAAATTTGAGTTGAACTGAAAATTTTGAGATATTTATAAATCATGACAAACACAATAACAAGAAAAGTCTTAAGAGATTTTAATACAAGAAGAATACAACAATAATAAAGCTATGAAATAAGCTATTTTTAACAACGTATTGCTGTACATTTATTTCCTCTGATTGAATACATCATCTTGTCCATCTTTAGTTCTATAACAGATCATTAAAGTACAGTTAGTAACAATACAAAATCAAATTAAGCCAAGTAATAAAACTGCATAAATGTAAGCCGATCATCAATGGGAATATCAACAGGAAGCTTGGTTAAACAATAAAAAAATCATAAACAACAAAAAATCTACTATTTTCACATTTTTTAAAGTTGGACAGAGAGAAAAACGACCAAGAAAAGCAACAAATGTTCCCAACCAGACTAGACTGGCAGTGTTGCAGGTCAGGGATTATACTGAGGCGCATGCATGTGCGCACATCTATATTAAAATGCAGTTAATCTCAATACATTTAAACCCACTGCTATGATAGGCAGTGACATGAATCATGACGACATGATGTATAAAGAAAGAAACATCCGCTAGATAATTTCATAAGGTGGGTAAATAGAACTAATCCAATCCAAAAGACTTGGCCATGTAGATCTGCTTCTCAACTGCTTTTGCATCCTCTATTTTCCCTCTGTCAGCCTTCATCATTGTAAAGACAACAGCAGAAAACATAGACGTGTTCTTATTCTGGGGAAATAGGGTACATAAAAATATTAGCAATATCAAAATGTAAACAATCTTAAAAAAATCACTTTAGATTTATGAAAATAATCTGACAAATAAATACTTTACCTTTTGTCTTTTCTGATCGCTACAATTTTTCTGCAGGACAGCGCCTTGATTATAGAACATACACATTGCAATTAATTCAAATGTAAGATTAATTAACATTTGTTTTTCATAGAGAACTGTGAGTAACTGAAGTTACCTTTGCAATGATTACTGCTGTTTTTTCTGATCGAATAAGTGAGGACAGCAGTAACAATGAGAACGAAGACAGCGCACAGCAGAAAAATAACTATACTGGCCATCAGAGAGCAAATGCTGGTTTCTGGAATGAAAGTAAAAGTCAAAAACAAAGTTAGAAATGACTAAAAATAAATGATTTTTTATTTCTCCTCATGATGAAATTACTCGGAGCATGAAATCAAATTTTGTAATGCCTATTTAATGAATTAATAATCACTTTTAATTAAACATACTCGCATTATGCCATGATTTTATTTTTTAGAAATCATACCTATTTGCACTTTAGTTCCATCTCCAAATAATATCGTTCCACATGTGACAACAGCACAGTAGTAAGTCCCAGCATCAGAGGAGCTGACCGTCTTAGAGAAGCGATAAACACAGCTCTTCTGAGTGTCTGATTGCTTCTTACATTCAGTTTGGTTCTTTCCATCAACATAGATGATATTTGGATGAGAGTTTTGTCCTCTGAACCAGAGGACTCTGAGATCTCCAGGACACATCTTGTTATCAGAGTCTGACAGGACTGAACAGTTGAGAGTCACAGAATCCCCTGCATGGACTGAATCTAATACCGTTGGCCACTGACGAACAGTAACGTTTCTCTGGGTGTTTCCTGTGTAATAACAAAAAACAGTGTTTAAAAACTACCTCTAAACAGAGTTTTAGTTTTTATTGAAAAATGAATGATAACGGTGCGTCTCGAAAAGGAAAACTTGGAATCGATTTGCAAACACATTAAAATACCAAATATGATGTTTAAACTACGATTTATTAAATTCATATATAATCTATAGTTATTTTTCCCACCATGTGAAAAAGTTTTTGTCAGATGGTTGAGTATTTACAGTGAATCCAAAAGGCTGCAATCACATAATTACCTTTTAATAACAAATAGGTCCCACTCCAAGCATTCACATCCCATTCCATGACTGCACAGTGATACATTCCTTCATCTTCTGGGATTGTCCTGAATATGGTCAGACTGCTGATGTTTTTATTGTCTTTTGCTTCCAATCTTGAGGCATTAAACCCTTGTCCATACTGAGGATGTGCAGTTTGCCGCAGTGTCGCAATCAGTTTCAGAGTTTCCCCTGCTCTCTGCTTGTACCAGTGAATTTTAGTGCTTAAATCACCAGGAGGTAAAACACATGTCAAAGTTGCAGGTTCACCAAGTTGAACTGTGGTCACTTGCTCCAGCATGTCTGCAGTGAGTTTAAACAAAACACATGTTAAACACTATAGGAAAAAAAACATTAACCATTACACATCTAGGTGCATTGCAAATTCCTAAATGACAAAAAGAAAATAGATCATAATTAGACAGAACTCACCTCCTTGGTGAAGAAGAAAAACGAGTGTTACCCAAACCAGAGTCATCATCGCAATGTCTTTACTTGAAAACATTTCGATATTTCAGTGACAGAGGGAGATGATGCGACCCAGACCATCACTATCTGATTGGTTATCGCAGTCTTTACAGTCAAAGCCTATTTCCTGCCACACGGGTATTGTCCTGCATTGTGTGAAAAGACGGAGAGACTAAAAATCTGTGACAGTACAAAACTGTTTATTACTATTGTGGTAACACATTTTCTTTGATTCAAGTTTTGCAGAGCCAACTAAACCATCAAAAACCTAGTACTGTTGAGCATGCTTTGTAGTAGACCACTCTGGGGGTTTCAGTGTAACATGAAAATCTTTCATTTTGAGTTTTGTCATTATTTTAACTTTGAACTTATAACCCAATATGAGCCAAATGTGATTTTTTTTAAACCAATGAGAGGTGTTTAAAGTCTTATCTAATACCATCATTTCACCTCTTTCACAAAGTGAAATACCAATAAGGTGTCATATCGGCTGCAGCAGACGGTGGAGAATGGAGAGTGGAGACCCAATTGCAGACAATGGAGACGGAATTGAATATAAACAAAAATGAGCCTTTATTTCTGGCTGCACAAAAATAAAAAAAAACAAAAGAAGACTAAGATTAAACTAACAAAACCTAAACTGGGAAAAGCTAAACCGAAAACACTCGGTGCATAAAGAAAAGTACAAAAACCTTAAATGCAAAACCTGACACTTGGGAAACATGAAGAAAGATGAGCAGACAGTTCAACAACAGGCAGCAGAAAACAGAGGACTAAATATACAGAGGATAACGAGGGAATGGGAAACAGGAGGGAATCACAGCTGGAACTAATATGACACAACGAGACAGGGAGGAAGTGTGGTCGCAAATTTTTTAGCCATCCTGATAACCTTCTCCCACCAATGATGTGGAGATCCAACTTTTTTAGATCCAATTAAAATTAAGGCACTCAAAAAGATGCTCTGGAAAAGAGTAGAATTCACTGAATCATATGAACAGCAAGAAAACACATACAGAGTATAGCAAGACAATACATAGCAGAAAGTAAGCAAAGCAACAACCTTAAGCACAGACAGCAGAGCAACACAGAGATGGACAGAAAGTAGTAGCAGGAAAAAAGAGTGCCGGGGTGTCCTCTGGTCCCCTAATATATAGGGACCAGTATCCCCACCCACCCCCTCCTGCTGGGTAATTTTCCCACGCACCCAAAAACAGCAGGTGCAGGTGCATAATGTGTGTGTGTGTGTGTGTGTGTGTATTATATCGTATGATCCTTAAGGTGATTTTATCATGATGTGTTCAGTATCTCTGTTACAATGTTACTGTTTTGGTTGTGCTGCATAAAAGACATTTTGTGTGTATTAGGGGGGAATTAGTTACTGGAGCTGGAGAGTGAGTTATTCAAGAGAGCTCTCAACAGCATTAATTGCCCTGTTATTGTCAGTGTTGGGCAGTAACGGAATACATGTGCCGCCGTTACGTATTTAAAATACAAAATATGAGTAACTGTATTCCGTTACAGGTACCATTTAAAAAGGTGGTATTTAGAATACAGTTACTTTGTTGAAATAAATGGATTACACGGCGGTATTTTCCTGTTTCATATTGTCGCGGGTCAGGACTGTTTCGGTTTTGTTTGACAGCTACGTTCTGTAGTTCCAGGCGGCAGCGTTGCGGTTGCCATGGTTACAGGGTGACACTCTCCCTCTGCGTGTTTCCTGGGTGAGAGAGCGCCTTTTTGTTGTTGGTGGTGTGCTAAGCTAATAGGCAGAATGCTACAGGCATAGCTTTAAAGAATGTAGCCTGATGGGCAGTGTAGTCCGTGCTGCAGGGAGAATGGACTGCCGTACCCGTTATGTGTCTGTGAGCGAGGGAGGGAGAAAAAGGAAACGTACGAGTTGTCATCGAGCAGAAACGGGAGCTGGAAGCATGTAAATATAATAATAACCACTGCAGCCAAAAAGAGAGCCTGACGAGCCCAGCTGTAAGTAAGCTATTAAGACTCGACTGTACACCGTGTTCGTGTTTTCCTCCGAAACAATAAGTTCTGTTGCAGCAGCCTTTCAATGTGTCTCTCTGTCTCTCGCTAGCAAAGTTGACCCAGACAACAAAGTAAAGCTAGTTTTCAGCTACGAGCCCGACACGAGCCCGACATATTAGTCAGAGGTCCCTTTACTACGGTTCGGAGCCGCTGACCTTCAGTAATAGTAATAAATCACACAGCAATAGTACATTCATGTAGTTGCAAAAAGCATGATAATATATTAAGTAATCCAAAGTATTCAGAATACGTTACTCTCATTGAGTAACGTAACGGAATACGTTACAGAATACATTTTGGGGCACCCAACACTGGTTATTGTACAACCTTAATAAACCATGGTGAAGCAAAATGTCTTGTGTGTAAGACTATGTGAAAGTTAAAATATATATGTTCAGTGCAGATAGATATATAGTGTATATAGTTACATAGGTATACATGTCCTCCAAAAATCCACCACAGAAGGAAAACTAAACACAAGAGACTATCAAAATAAAACAGGAAACATTAGACACACACTAAGACGTCGGCTTGACACATGACGCGGGGAAGAAACAGACATGGAAACACAACCGACTGGCAAGACAGAAAGGAAAAACAGAAAACAGACACAGGAGATAAACGAACATGAAGACAAGGGAGACTAGACATGAAAGGTGGAATACAGGGGCAGCACAGTAACAGAACCTAAAGACTAGAAACTACAAAATATAATCAGAGAATAACTGAGGAAACTAGAAATACAAACAACTACACCATGAAAAACACTATATCAAAGAATATTCATAAACCAGAAACATATAAACACTAGGTCCACAGACACAGGACCGTGACATAAAGTCCACAACAAGTACAAGCCTCAAGACGGTTTTCTAGGCTCCAGTTCTTTTTCTTCATCAGGGATGTGAGAGCTCTTTAATTTTGCACAAAAATATTCTAAAGTTACATGTCAAATAGATTTGTGGAGAATAACAGAAAATAATTTTGCATTTGAGAATTCCCACATTGAACAATTATTTATTTTTTATTAGTTCATTTATAAAAATCCAAATCACAACAACTATCACCTCAAGGCTCTCTATATTGTAAGTGCTTTATATTTACATTAGAGAGAAAACCCCAACAATTACATGACTCCCTATGAGCACTTGGTGATACTGGGAAGAAAAAAACTCTCTTTTAACAAGAAGAAACATCCACAGAATCTTTCTGATTAAGCTGGATCTTATAAATATCATCTAAACATTGTCTACAATAGTGGAGATAGACGCAATTAATATGAGAAAACAGATGTCCTTGAGAAGAGACGTCTTTGTTGCATCTTTGCGACTACACTAATGTTGGGACTTACTACTGCCTTTTGGCCACATATGTGAAGAAATTATTTGGACAGATTTGCAAGCTACAAATCCATGATGTGAATTTCCAAGTGTTATATTCAATTGCAATTTGATGAGGTCATTTGAATACAGTGTATTCATTGCTCAAAAAACAGTTTACGATGATCTGAGATTCACGACAGGAGAAAATCGGTACATAGTGGTCAAAACAGCATCTATATTGTCAGCAACTCAGGTAGACTATGGGCTTTGAGTGATGCTTAGTTAGTCCTAAGGCCTTATAGTACCACCAACAGTCAGACGTTGCTGCCATGTAATGAGGGCAAAGAGGAACAAAGGGGAAGGCGTATATACTGCATGTCATGTGAATTTGTATTTTATGTTCTAAAACATTTTGCAGTTAAAATCACACTGTGGGTTATTCTAGATATGTATGTCTAGAGATGTTTATTGCATAAAAACATGTTGATCACATTTTGTGTTCATCTAAACTCATTTTATGCATGTTTTTTACAATGAACAAAACCTTACACAGACAGAAAAAAAACTAAAGCAAATCAAATACACCTGTTTCACTTTATTTGTTGATTTTCTTCACTGACCCAAATGCAGGAATCAGGAAGCAGAAATAACTGAAAACCCTTGTTAGAGTGCAACCGACAAGAAACAAAAACAATAACTGGGTAGGACAGAAGCTAACCAAAATGAAAACTTGGACTCAAGAAAAACACAGTGACAAACACATATGAGGAATGAGGGACCAAGACAATTTTTACATAAGAGAACATTTTTGAAATGACTAATCAATGACGAGGACAATGGAAGCAAAACTGAACCTAATGCACAAGTTTCAAGAGACTGCCAAAATAAAACAGAAAGTAACTAACAGTAAGACCAGTCTAAGACATGAACTTGACAGAACTAAACAAGGACCACAGAGACAGGACAATGGAGACCAGATAGGAACAAGGAGACAGAAAGACAAAGTAAATTACAAACAGACTAGAAACAGTGGCTATACTACATGGCAAATGAAAGCAACCTACTAGTATTACCAAAGAGCTAGGCCTAAACAAAAATCACAAAAAGCAAAACCCCTCCAAAAACTCCAACACTGGGTCAGACGGAAATGACCAGGAATACAGGGGGGTCGTTAGTGAGATCAACGCTCTCCAAATCAACGCCAGAAGACGAAGGAGATGGTAATAGACTTCAGGAGGAAGTCTATTACCATCACACCACTGGTGAACATCCAAGGAAAAGACATTGCGACAGTGAACTCTTACAAGTACCTGGGTGTTCACCTCAACAATAAACTGGACTGGACTACAAATACAGATGTTCTGTATAAAAAGGGCCAGAGTCGACCCCATCTGGAGACTGAGGTCCTTCAGAAGCTGCAGGACTATGCTAAGGACATTCTGTGACACTGTGGTAGCATCCACCTTTTTCTATGCAGTGGCCTCCTGGGTGAGTGGATGCACGAACAGGGACAGGATTGACAAACTGGTGTGGAGGTCTAGCTCTGTGCTGGGATGTCCACTGGAGTCTGTGTAGCTGGTGGGCGAGAGGATGTTAGTAAAGCTAGCATCCATTAGCATCCATACATGTGTGTGTGCACGTACAT